TTGTGTCCACATCTCCCTCCCGCTCTTCAATTCCCCATCCTCTCCCCTTTCAACATGCAGGTCGTACAGAAGTCTATATTTTACCCCCGACGCTATAATAAAGGCAGGTTAGCCAAAGCCCCCTGAACCAAAACGTTCCCCAAATTATTTCAATTGTGTCACTCGCAGATCTTTGTTATTGCAGAAGTGCAGCTAGCGGCGCGTAGCGGCCCACGGTGTAATTATAAATCTACGTGTATTGAGAAGACTAATAAATGATTATTGTTGGTAAAGCCTCCTGACAATTCAGTTGCTAGGCAGTCAGGGGAGCTGAATGTGTCATATGCAGATAGCTTTGTTCCAATTCGATCATATGGACTATTGTCACCCAAGGGGCAACAATATTAGACAGACATTAAGAACTGAGCATTCATAGACGCAGACTGAAGGGACCATGGCAGAAAACTGGAAGCAGCAACTACACTAGGTAAAATCGTGAGGTCTTTCGAGTTTAACGAGCCGAAAGGGTGGAAATTAGAGGAGGGTACTCTCTGAGGATCGTAATTTATCGCGAGCAAAGCAACCCTATGCATGTATAATAGATCCCGATCGAGTACAGTGAGTAATATTGTACTAAGCTAGAATTCAGGCTCTCAAGGACGATATTAATACGTACAAATTTTATTAATTATGACATTGCGAGTAAAATTAATTGAAAAAATATACGAACATGCGCATTCGGTTCAAGATATTTCCACGTCTTCCAACCAATATATGAACCAAAGATTAAAAATAGAATGTCCAGAAAGTCACTACAGGGTTTAGGAAGATATTTTCTTAAGTATTTTTTAAGTATTAAAAAGCAATGAACTGAAATTAAGCTTCGAAAAGTTTATGTCAGTAATGTCCATGTGTTATACAGTGGAACCTCCCTTAACGAGCACCTCTCATAACAAGTAATTCGCACAACGAGCAAAACAAATTGTAAAAAAATGACTCGCTTAACGAACGACGTTTCGCATAACGAGTGACGAGAGGGGAAGTCCCGGATTGTGCACTTGCTACATCAGTCTGTGTTTAGCACTCGTTCCGCTAGCATCTTAGTGTCGCTTGTGATCACACATTTTTCCAAACCTGTGTTCAGACATATTATTTGAGATTTTTTTGTGCAAAGTTTAATAACCCTTGCAAACATGTCCCCGAAGAANTCCAGGTTGGTTCATTCCACATAGAAGAAAAGATGAAGATGATTCACGCTCCTTAACAATGTATATATAATTTTCTTTGAATAAACGTTATACAGTGCGTACAATCAAGTGCGCGCCGCGGCTGCAATTTGCCGTGAGTCATACCACCGCAGAACGGATGCAGTCGCGGGGAGGAGTTGCAACAACATTTTTTGAGTATTTTTTTTCGGTACGGAACACATTATCGTATTTTACATTAATTTATATGGGAAAAATTGTTTCGCTTGACGAGTGTTTCGCATTACGAGTAAGATTCTGGAACGAATTATGCTCGTTAAGCGAGGTCCCACTCTATCTAGCCCATAAGCTATTTGATCCATCCCTGGGTTTAGTATCATCACAGCTTCAATGATTCGTTCCTCGAGTTCATCTGAAGTGGCCACCTGACCAGTACACTCACGCATTTTACTTTTGACATAACTTCACAAAAAGAATTAGTGGGTCGTCAAATTTGGCCATCTCAGAGCCGAAAGTAACCGGACCTGGTAAGGGGACGGAGAAGTGAACTCATACCACGTGACCTCCGAAAGCTCCACAAGCTATTCCTTGCGTAGTTCCGCGAAAGGACGACTGAGGAGATGGCTAAACCAAGCAGTGGATCACCGCGCTTGTTAGCTGTAAGCCCAGAGATCAGCTAAAAATGAATTGTCGCTCATACATGTCGTGTTGCGAGAGGAACGCAACTGGAAACTTGCTGAAGAACTTCGCGATATAGACAAGTATTTCATTCCAACTATTTTTTTCTTTCGTAAAATAACAGACAAAAAACACAGCCTCCTAAAACGCCGGAACGATTTAAAAAAACACTACGTAGAGCGACAATTTTACTTTCCTTTTTGCATGAGAATGAAATTTATTTTTCACCCCCCAAAAAACAAAGGTTTAATACAGGCCTGGATGAAAACAGAATTATAATACAGCAGGGGAAAAGAGAATAAAAAATGCATACAATATTTTTGTTATGGAAATTCATGTAAACAAGAAATTTTGGCGTACAACTTTAACGTGGATTAAAAATAAAGAAAGCGAACTGAACGGACAACTGAACTCTCTCACTCACCAACCAGCTACTTCACTTCACTTCCTGTAACTGACTGCAGCCAGAGTCAAAGGCAGAGTCAGAGTTACTTTACGACTGGCGGTTTACCGCCAACCAGTTCTTCTTGACGACAAACCCCTTGAGACTCACGACCAGTAATTTATTTTTCCAACTGAACACTTGCAGTTATAATCCTTATGTAACATCCCCTCTGACGAGAGGTTGGGTCTGTCGTTTACAATTGCTGCTGGCCATCGCCAGCGTAGTCATTCTCAGGTCCGAGTTCCGCGGAACTCATGACCATATTTTGCTGCCTGATTCGAGACTCCCCCAAACTGAAGGGCCAGGTCCCCGTATTTATATCACCCAGAAATAGGGTGGCCTGGTTATACCTTCAGGCACTGGGTTCTCTTTTCGTCGCCTCCTATGACTCGCAGGGATACGGTGGAGATATTCGACCCAGCCTCCACACGGGTTGACTGACTGCAGCTCGGCCGGTTTCCCCGTTATATAACCTCGGGAAGAACCCAACAGAAAACACCGAATCCAAAACCCTTTTACTCTTGTCATGGCTGCTGCCTAGCGATGGACTGGATATCGTTTCCGCAAGAACACGTTTACTGATCGTTGCCAAGCAACGTATGTTCATTCTCGCGATCATTTCATGGCAATTGTACCACACGTTACAGTGTTTAGGCCCTTAATTAACGCATGCCTTACTACGAACTAAAGTGACTGAAAATCGCCATAAGTCAAACACAAATTTTCGCAAGTCGATTTTCACCTATATATGCCAAATTATTCAAAATATCTACAAAGAAATTAAACCAATCTCTTAATTAAGATGGTACTTCAAGTGAACCGCGTTGACCTAAATATGTCATTCGACATCATTTAATTTTGGTATATTTCATCAAAATCGGCCAGGAATCTTATGTGTTGCTAATTGCGGACAGATATGACACATATGTAGTAGTTTTTCCGCATTAGCTATGCCGGCGGTTGTTTAACTACCGGTAGGGTCACACATACCGGAAAGGTCAAAGAGTACTCGTAGAGTCCAGACTAAGAGAGATAACCTGGTCCTCCAGGTTGGGGGTTGGGCATGGGGCTAACAACCTCATTCTGTAAAAAGAATTTTGTTCAGAAACCTAACAACCAGAGAGCAGTGGAGACTGGTTGTAGAGGAGGCCATGGATCACCAAGGGATGTAGCGCCGAGCGGTAGGTAGGTAGCTCAGCGGGTTGAATATTGAAGTCCCTCTCAGGAATATGAAGTCCGCAATTTAAATTCAGTCTCCGAGTCGCGTAACATTTCCCGGAGTTAACAATTTCAGCCTGTATTTTATCTCTCTCAGCCATTCGCTTGTTTTCAAGATCTCCCCGTCCCTTATGCTGGCTGGCCCCTCGCTGCATTGCATCCCCCCCTATACAATCCTCAAACAACAATTTCATTCCCCTTCGCCGTCCCATATGTCGTCAATGTTTCCCCTCCAGAGCACTTTACATATTGCAACTACTTGCTTGAACGACGGTTGAAGTGGGGAAAGCTGAACAGTTCTTTTTGCCGATATCGCATAGACTTATTTTGCCCTCCTGTGGAAGTTTGCAGCTAGTATCATACAGAATAACCTATAACATGGTCATCTGGGCGAATTATTTGCTTCTATCGTGCTTTAAATACGGAAAATCTCAGGGGGTGTATTCTTTCCTTATTTGGATACTGAGGACAAAGGCAATCCTTTAGTTTATATTTCCAAGACAATGTATGAAAGCAGTTCGCGAGATGATGCGATTGATTAATTTAAATTCATTTCTACTAATAATACCACACACAAAAATATATAGGACATAAACAGCTGTTTCGAAAATACAATAGTTTGTAGCACGGAAATTGTTACCAAGATGAGGAATTCCACACATATTTTCTTACATTTTTTAGTTCTACTGAAAAAAGTATCAAAATTTTAGATAGGAGATAATCATTAAAATAATATACACAATTTTATTCTGAAAGCCTGAATTGAAGACATTACTTCAGAGACCCAGGCACAATACTGAAATGGAATTAGTATAAGAGTCTGGACTGGATTCAATTAGCTCAGGATACATTCCAGCGTGCTTATGGCTATGTAACTTCTGAGTGCATAACAACTGGTGATATCTCTAAAGAGATGAGTCAATATCAAATTGGAAAGAAGAATCGCGATTATTGAATTAGTTTAAACATCATCAGGTGATGCACACAAATTAGCCGAATATAAACAGTTTGTTAGTACAAATTTGTTGCGTATATAAACGTATATAAAGTACTAGCGAAATTACTTAGAATCCGACTTAATTCTATAAGTACAATATGACAGTATTTGTCCAAAATATAACTAATATCTTAACTCAGGAGTTACATGCTTATGTTCAGTTCGAATTATTTTGTAGTTATAAATTGTCACTATATATTCTTATTTCATCCCTTCGATTCTGCACATAGCCCTCTTGGTCATTCCAAGTTAAATTTTAATTTTAAGCTGCACACTGACTTTGTTCTTGGGTTCCAGGTAATCTTTGCGGCGTTTCACTTTAGCGAGTGGCTGGAGTTCATCTGAATAATTAAACAGTGGTTATCAAGTTCAGCGACGTGGTCACTTTTATGTTTGATCTGAAAATATTTCGTTTATATTGAAATACGTTTTAAGAACTGTAGAGTATTATTAGAGTTAAGGGTATAATGTTACTTACAGATGCGGTAGAATGTTTCTTAGGAAGAGAGTATTGACGTACTGCGATGCGTACTCTTGAAGGCATCGAGCCATGTCATCTGTGCATTGGTACAGCGGAAAGGTGACTAGTATAGCTAGTATATTCAATATTCGGAATGCAAAGCGTGGTTTATCTAGTTGGGGTTGCTGTTGTCTGACAGTTGATGACGTCACATATCGAATTTTCACTGTTCGGAAATACATCATTCAAATGATAACCGAACTGATAAACATTATATACAGCGAGGCCCGAAAAATGTATACACTTCAACGTACAAAATAACCGCTTAAATAATTCATTGGTACATCTTCGGTTCAACTATGGAAATGGCTGTACATAACCTCTATCACAGACTGTAATAGAGGTTATCTATCCATAGTTATCCATAGTTGAACCGAAGATACGAGCAAATCAGTAAATTATTAAAGCAGATATTTTGTATGTTGGAGTGTACACATTTTTGGGCCACTCTGCGTGTATATATGTGATTTACATTATGATAGTCTTTTGTTGTTGTATGACCTATTTGCAAGCCATCTTTAAGACAACCACTTGAGTATCATACTTCTATTACGTTCTGAGAAATATTGAATTCGTCTTTGTTGTTGTTGTTCTTATAATGGATATGTTCGTTATACCTAATTTTCAAGGTTTTTTCCTTATAGACTTCATCATAGCTGATCATACGAAATTTTCAGACGCTGTAACGAGAACCGTTGAAATATCTCGCAAAACAGTTTTATTTCAATTGTTTCTTAACATATTAGACTAGTCATTACTTACGATATGAACAAAAAAGTAGTAGACAATAATGTTCTCGTAGGAACACGAAAATAGGAAAGGATCTGTAAAACCGTGCAGCCCTATGCGGCTGGAACTTCATGTAGGCCATGACTCTGCAAGTGCCAGCCAAAGTTTCGCCTCAGACAGAGAAATTCCGCCGCTTTCTAACGGGCCAAAGGCAGATCAATTTCCTCGAAATTTCATCACAATAACAGAACATTTCCAGACACTGGCGAAAACAGCTATCGGTGTCATGTTTGTCAAATTTTCAGTTTCATTGTTACTTCATAGTTAGAACTAACTACAACTAACACACCATGGGGCTGAGTCCTTCTTGAGAAGCAACCAGACGCTCAGCTACTCAAAATTTTCACATTTTGTTATTTCATCGAATTCCCAAGAAATAGTCATTGGTCCCTATGTTGTGCCAGATTAATCCAGTCCATACCACCCCATCCTACTTCTTTAGATCCATTTTCTTATTATTCTTGCACTTATGTCTAGGACTTCTTAGTGATCAATTTCCCTCTGGTCTTCCCACCAAACCATGCATCTACTTTACATGATCCTCAAATCATACCTTACCGACTTTCTCAAATACTACTCATCGCACAAAAGTTAGTACATGCCGTAGAACACATACAACTCTTCAAGCTCCATAACTTTAATTTTAAACACTGTTCAGTTTGATGAATAAATACTGAAATAACAAACTCATTTGAGACGATTCAATGTTTCATATCTGATTCATTCATCTCTGAAACCCCCCGTTGAATATGTAACATGAGGGGTTTTATAAAATAAAAACGCATTTGTAAAATATGTACTCAATTCGAGCACAAGTTTCCACTTTCTTTTTAACTTATTTCCCTTACCTGATCATGATGGGAGCAGGGATAGCACAATCGGTATAGCAGCTGGCTACGGTGTGAACAGCCGAGGAGGCGGAGTTCGAGTCAAAGTAGGGGCACAACTTTACTCTTTTCCAGTCCAGACCGGTTCTTGGGCCCACCCAGCCGTATATCCAATGGATATCGAGGGTTCCTTCCACCGGGAGGTAAAGTGACCGAAGCGTGAAGCTAACCACCTAAAACTAGTGCCGAGGCCAAGAATACATATCCATACATCCATACATCCACGCCCCTTTACATCATGGAGCAGTGCTTAATTAGTCAAGCACATAAACAACTTTACTTTTCAACCCCTTGCAGTTGCAAGCCTGACTTGTTAATAGACCAAAAGGAAGTAAAACAAGGAAATATATCTCATCTACTGCAGCACAGAAGTGATATTTATGATGAATAAATATTCCATACACAAATATACAAAACTTGGAAGTTTTATTATTCGACATATATACAGAACATATTTAAGACCAGGTTCAATTAATGTCATGAAAAAAATTTATACAAATGACTACAATAAATTACTGTTCACACTTCACGGTACCTGAATTATGATATTCATTTCTTACACACCTTTGTAAAAAATCTACATTCATCTTGAATTACAAAATATTGTACATTTTATATTAAATTGGTCTAATACAAGTATTATTGTACACTTAGGTGAAAGATAAACATATATTTTAAAGTATAAATGCATCCTATTTATAAATACCGTTATCTACAAATTTAATTAAACCTATGCAAGATGTGGACAGTCAAGCAAGGATGTCACATTAACAGCCCCAGCTGCCAGCTTCTTCTTGACTATTGTTTTAACAAATATAGTTTGAAGTCTGGCTTGGTCATAATGTGTTCCCTGCATGAAATTGAAACGTGACTGCATAATGTGAAGTTACTTTCTGTTTGCACACTTTCCTTCCAAAACCATTCAACATATTTGGACGAAATTCACTGCTCAGGAAACTACAGCAAGTCTACAGCTATTTACATTTTGGAACATTACCAGTCTCCTATAACCCTCACATTGCATGGCACTCAGGTTTAACTTTATGTAAGTTCTAAGTACAGAAGAGTGCATGAAAATCTGGATTATATAAACTATAGATCTTATTCAAATTTACAAATGTTCTTTCAGACACAGTTCGATATGGTGTAGATTTCACCAAAATATGATATAACAGTGTCTCCCTCTGCAGTTACTAAACCTGTCACCAACAGATCTGCATCTGCAAAAAATTATAATTAATATAAATGAGAAATGAAAAGGACATATAGCTGACATAATCTGGGTTACGTTTATTCTAAATGCTTTATACCTTGTCAATTCAGAGTCATGTAATTTGTTCAGATTTGGAGGAGGAATGAAGAACATCACAAACAAAACGTATACAGCAGAAAGTACTTATGCCTTCACTTTCTATGAATTTTGTTTTCACATTTCTATGTGAATAATATTTATTGAAGCACACGTTTCCTTACAATGTTACTCTGTGAACAGACACATACTATTACAGGACTGTTCCCACATTTTCCGGACATTAAGGGTCAGCTTCAAGTCATGGATGTCCACTTCATATCTTCCTATTTTTGTGACTAAACTTTAATGAATAGTGCCTCAGATGTATAACATATTGAAATTTAACATTATAATTATGAAATTCTTTCATATAGATGCAAAGAAATTTTTGTAATATCTCACAATTCTGCGGATTCAAACATTTGTAATAGTTTATTTAAATTAATTAGAGCAGAGATGTTGCAGAAAAGCTGCAGCAGTTAGGAAATTCATAGACTAATGTTACCACAAACACGTTAAGTATCATTTATGGCAGTCTTGATAGCAATACATTGGGAAATCACGGCATGCACTGAACAAACGTGGTGAACGATTTCTGAGATGACAGGAATATAGCTTATAACACCCTGAACGTGGGTCATTTGGGGGAATACCACCTGATCCAGGGTTTCCTGGTCAAGCACACCATTCCACAGGTTTTGCCAGGCTCCCTACTCTCCTGACATGGCTCTTTGTGATTTCTGGCTGTTCCCGAGATTGAAGACACCACTAAAAGGCTCCCGTTTTGACAGCCGCGAGGACATCATATAGGAAATGTGATGGTGCAGCTGCAAATCATTCCAAAACAAGCCTTCCAGAATTCCTTCCAGTGATGGAAGGACTGCTGGGCTAAGTGTGTGGAGTCACAAGGGGCCTACTTTGAAGGGGATTAGATACTGTAACCACCCTGATACAGAACATTGTTTTCCTGGCCCAAGGTCAGATACTTTTTTTGGCAGAGAGATAAATACTACAAAATGAATTACAACTTTCCACACATGTTACCGCATGTAGTGTCAGAAACTCCACAGTGAGGATTGGGATAATTGGTAGTCATGGATACATATACTCATATATCCATGTGCTAAGCAGGATTCAACCCATTTCATTATTTATTATAATTTATCATATACCATCCATTACAACACACTTAGGTTGGCTGTTTACTTGACATATTTTGACATCTACAATGTCATCTTCGGGGGTATATATTTTTGTTACAAACTTGAACATTAACTCGATGTTATTGTCTGTGGTTGTATGTCCTTTCAAACGTTTCAGATGCTTAAATTTTTTTTTTTTGCGAGAACTGTCTTCTACATGACTATGTTATACATTAAGTATGTGGTAGTACTAGTATATATTTTTAACGCTGTAACCGTTCATTATACTCTTCTAGCATAATCCATATTAAGATTTAATAATTTATGGCCATATAAATAATAAACAAGATCAGGCAGATAGTCACCTTATGTTTAGCAAGTGGCATAGTTCCAGTATTGCGATGTGGACAGGACATAACATCTGCCATATTTTCTAGAATTCTGGTAGTTTTAGCTACTGTGAAAGGTCTGACAGTTAAGATAAGCTATAAATTTTAAGTATGAGGGACAAGCTGATACATCAGGGAGCTGTTAAGTCTAGTGTTAGGTATGTAAAAGGCACAATTGCATGGCAAAACAATATGATTGAAAATTCACGAAATTAGGAAACTTCCTAGTTTTCAAAATTGACCAATAACACATGTTGAAGGAGTGGACTTCTCTTGGATGCTGGGGCTTGACAGACCTCAGGATTTCAGAGAGTTCAACTTTTGGTTTATTCAGACGCAAAAAATTGTGTCACTCTGATGCCTTATAATTTCTTGTGACATCATTCATATAAAGTTTTGTATTCACATAAGTGGAAGCATAAATTGGTTTCTGTTAAGAACAGTGTGATTGTGTTAACAAAGGGTTTAATAAACAATGTGAAGTGCAAAACCTTGGTGTGGTGTATGTGGCTGTAGCATTAGGATCTTCCTGTCCTGCCTGAGCTATGCCTGGTATGACCCTAAATGAGAAATCACCTATTATAACTTAGTACAGCCTAGCTACTCCTGACTTGTCCCTACTTATGAGACACCTTAGTAATTGTAGGTAAAGATAACTCTTGCCTAATAATAACAATAAGAACGCTATCAACCACAACTACCCTTCCTTCCCACCCAACTTCTTGTCATCCACAAGACAGGGAAGTAGTGCAATATAATTTCAATGAGCAGCAAGTCTACTAGAGACCGATCTGCTTCTGCTACAAGTGTTGACTACAGCCAGGCCTCAGAGCAGTTAAAAGTGTCACACGATGATTAGCAGCAACCAGGGAAAGGAGGGGCAGCAAGCTGTTAGAACCTTCTATGTTTTTTGTAATTCATCTTACACTAGCATACATTTCTTCATGTATACTACACTTCCTGTATAAAATTCAAGGACAATGTCAAACAAATCATAAATGGCTGCTGGCATGCTGAGTGAACCCTTAAGATGTTTATGATTTTTTAATCTAAAGCATATAAATAAGACGAAAACCTTATACATTAACACACAAAATCATATAAAGACCTCATGATGTAGTTATGGGCTGTGTTATGAAAAGCAATTGCCTGAAGTTATACTTCAATGACAGTGCCCACTGCAACCAAACTGGAAGTGCTCATATCAGTCAAAAGTTCTCAAAACAGATTTATATTTGAAGAGAATTTTATGTTTGTATCTTCTGGAACTTGACATTGTGTTGTCTGATACAAATTTTGTGATGCTTCAGAGCAAGCCAAAAAGCAAAATAGTAAATAGCAAGGAGAAAGATTGAAGATTGAGAAAGTATGTTTCTCGAAAACATCTGTAATTTCTATCAAATTATAAGATGTCAAGTTCCACAAGATAGTTACATTTCATAATCATCATTATAGGAATTCTAACCTCGCAATTTTAAATAATCTTCCTTCTATCAAAGCGTGCATGATTAAACACAAAGGGTGAGTTTACATACATGCACTCACATACATATGCGTGTAAACATACACATACACCATACATATTGGATCCTAACTACCATTTGGACCTACAGTACCAAATTAGTTGGATCAATAATTTTACTGATAATTTCCATGTACCAGTTTCTTATTTCAGTTTTACTTCAGAAACATTAAAATTAAAATTCAAACCCAACAGTGAAATACATAATGCTGCATCAATTAGTTAAGTGTAGAGGTAAATCAACATTTAAATTCATACACATTTCTCACTTCACTGACATTCAAACACATCTTACCACCTGTAATCATGTTTTCTTTACATTTATTTAATTTTTTCTACCAAAAGGCATTGCCATTTAAAAAGGCACCAATAAATATTAAAGAGGCACAAGACATAACAGCCTTCTATACACAACAATGCTGTATATGCATTCCTCAGCCTTTTCCATTAATAACAAATTTATACAACAGGTGAAGCACAGGATTACATGCATAAATGTTATGCAAACAAAGTCCTGAGAATGATTACAACAGTACCAGTGAACTCATTTTCTTATCACTGCCATGTCATCCTACATCGAAAGTCTCATTTCCTATTGTAAAGAGCAGGTACTGCTCTGCTACTGATGGTATGATCCACCATCCATGGTGTCATAATCAGGCTCCTAGCCCCAGCCAAAACGTGAACCAAGCACCTAAATAATATGGTTCAAAAATTTTACTGTTGAAGAAAACAATCATAAATTAAATATGGCAGGAAGATTGATGGTTGGTGCCAAAACTTAAATTCAAAATGATGGCAATCATTTCAGACCACATTCCTTGTTCCCAAGAAAAGGAGAATGTTTGAATGCAGCATGAAATGATTTCAATTTGCACTGATAAAGATGATATGAATGACTGTGGGGAATTAAAATTGCTATGTCTGTGCTAAAGGCTTCTCTCTATGGAGGCTACAGTTCAATCTCAAGACACCTCATACAAAATATGTACAGCCAAGAAATACACTGTGCACTATTTCAGTTCCATTTTGTCAACTTCAAACTCATTGTTTATTGTCCATGGGCAGGACTACCTAACATGTTATTTCCATCCTAAAATGGTCTTCACCTTTAACCCTACTTTAAGCTGAGGTTTATTTTTACCTCAGGTTATAAAATCTTTAAACATATTCCAGCTAAAAGAAAATGACAATAAAGTAGTGCAGTAAAACCCTCCTAAAATGGAATGCAGATTAAACAAAAATCTGTCCACATTTGGTCCTCAAAACATAAGAGTAAAAACTACTGTTAATTATTGTTAATGGAAACAAAAGGAAATGTTCTGTACTGTTCTTCTTAATCTAAAATAATTTTTAAAGATAGATGGTGTAGAAAGGAATGGCAGACTACAATGAAAGGATGGAAATTATAAGAATACCCCAAAAATGATTATGGAATGTAAACCTATTATAACGTTTCCAAGGTATGCAGGAAAAGAATGAGGAGACTGTGGTCTCTGGAATTCGTATGAGAAATGACATTATTGTTGCGAACAGAAAAGACTTAAGCTTGACCATTAAAAACATTAATAAACAGCTGAAGAAACAAGTATAATGGTCCAAAATGTGCCTATGAATTTACTGACATATTAGTGACTGATTTATTTGATGTTAATTAGCAGGTATTTGATATATTTACTAATGTTAGGACATATTCCATTACATCTGAGGTAGGACATATGCCTTAACACGCATTCAGTTTTAGTGACCAAATGAAAAACAAAGCAGGGGGAGTTGAGGGGTTCTTGAAGTATCTGGAGACTGCAATCAGTATTTTTCATTGATACAACTGGGGATTTGTCTTGGAGTAGATAGTTATGAAAGCCAAAGTGACAGTTTACTGAAACTATGTATGGAATAACATATTTTTAACAGCTATTTTAACTCAGCATTGTTACATAATTGGACCATGCACATTATACAATAACTTTGGTCTGTTAACATCAACCAACTACAGACAAATTCTTGTCCTTAGTTTGCTGCAGTTGATTTGAATTCCTTTGGGAACAGAGCCAAGTTCTTGCAGGAAAGATTGTCTGGAAACACTTTGTATCTTAATTCCTTGGCTGTATATAAGTTGGTCCCACTTAAACTCTAAATCAATAGCCTGTGAAGCCATTTAGATCTTCTGTGTAAATTACCTTTGACGAGTTCCATCTGTGTCAGTTCAGAGTTTATGTTTCATTATGTACATTAACGTTAGATTTATTGATTTCTTTTATAGGATGTATATTTAGTTTACTTCACATGGAGATTTAATGTCTTGAAAGGGGAAATGTAACAATGCTTTAGAAACAAGTGTTCTAATGGGTTTACAACTTTTTGGAGTTGTGTGAATTTGACATTTATTGCTAGCCAGTAATTAGAGACAGGAAGTTGTTACCAGCTGGTAGTACATGGGATATAACTGGGTTCCAGATGTGTCTACAGAAGTTCTTCTGTAAACAAAGAACTGTTCAGCAAGGGAACCTGACTGGTTTACCTAAGATTCTTACCCCACCAGCCCATGTATTTTGTCAGTTGGGTGCAGTTATAATTTAAATTGTGACTTGCTTTGATCTGCATATTCAAGTCTGGGTTTATGCACTTTGGCTGGAAGCTTCTAATTTCAAAAGAGACACATGTAAATTCAGCATGATCTAATAAATTCTAAATTAAATGGCCTACATAAACCTCCAGGAGTTCACTGAATAATCTTTGGAAGCACAAATCATGAGGCAGATTCTAAAGTTAGGTAAATAATTCTGGACTTTATAAACAGGAAAGAAATGTGATAGTTTACTTATGACTTTGCTTGTATTAATCTAATTTACATCTCACTTTGTAGATAGCTATTTGAACAGCAACTAAATAATAAAGGAAAGTGATCAGAAGTAACACAAATAAACAATGAAAGTGATCACTACATCAAATTGCAATTTATTCAGCACAGTAGTGTAGCCTCTGCATTCTGGAGTTACTGCCAATTAAAACACACCTTCAGACTAGAGTCAATAGATTTTCTGAAGCTAATCATCTAAGTTTACATATCAAAAGCGAGAAACCCAATGCACTTACATCATCAAAGATAAAATTCCTTCTGAGACCAATTTAACACCTGTTCCCTGCTTTTCCTTCACCTGACCTTGATATTCCTATTCATGAACTTGTCATAAGAAGGAGCTTGGTGTTGACTGACAAATACAGAGTGTAAATGTGTGATCAGTGGCCAGTCTACAACTCAACTATTAGCAACTAGGTAAAATAAATCGATAAAAAATCTGGGAATAAGTAAACCTTCATATAAACATTATATAAAGTTTAAAGTATGGCCTACCATAAATATTCAAATTTTGTGACTACTACAGTTACTAACACCACAATAAAAAAACACTACACATGAAAGTTAAGAGTGTTGTCATTTCCATAATGGTTAATGCAATAGCATTAATGTGTGGTTCCCAGATATCTGAGTTACCACTTTTACACAAAACTGAGAATAGAAAAGTGTTTCTACCAGACCTAACCAATCTAAATTACATGTGAAATTGCAACAGCTAGAACATAATTAAAACAATTCTTGTGAATTTATTCACTGGCACACAACTAAACTTCATCTAATTCCCAGTTCCTACCTCCACCTCAAGGTCAATATATCCCACCCTTTCAGAGATAATTCAGCAGTGAAATTGTGTTATCACCACTTAATAACGCAAATTTCACGCTTGGATGGCTGCACATGGAAGAAAAGGAAAGGAAACAAAAAAGCAAGGGAAGGAAGGAAAGATAAAAAATGAAAATACATACTTCTCAACGACAGTGTGGTGGACAGACACTGTGTAGCAAGAATTCCTTACTTATGATTAAGATCATAAATACAGTACACAATGCAAATTTTTTTCTAGAAGTAAGCAGCTATTAAAGAATAACCTGTCTGCAAGAGAAAAATGATATCTTATGGGATTCCATTATAAGTAGGTTTTACTGTATTGAGAATAAATAATCTATTTTACCTAGGAATTGTAGTAAATTAAAATTTAAACTACACCCTTATATGTTTTCTTACTTTCAATGCTTGTAATGATCATGGATACGAGGAACATACATCATCCACACGTCTTTCTCTTTTTCCATTCAGACTATTTCAAATTACATGCAGAAGCTGTGACTAGTCTCTTACTGCATCAGTTACATTTCTGCTTCAGCTTCATGTAGAAACCTTCCACATGGCACTGGTTTACTGTAGGTATGGCAGTGTAGAATGCTAAGTGGATCTTGAATGTTGCTGGTGTGAATATCTGCCAGCATTATTCCTAATGCACAGTTCTCAATATATAAATAGCAGTCTTTTAGAAAACATGGCAAGATAAAGACATAAAGATTTACAAGCATAGATGGCAGTGTTCTGGAGTTTGCATCATTCATATGTTCATTTGCAGGAGTGGCCAATTAAAATTAGAATCATCTCACTGCCAGTACAGGTGTTTAAAAATATTTAACAATTTCACTTGCATGTTTCTGAATGCTATTTTGTTTACTGATATATAACACACACATTAATTTTTGCACTGGTTCACCTATCATTTATTGATGCTACATCAAATAAAAATGTCATGTAACATCAATAAGAGATGGAATGATTACAATATATCATAAATGAAGATAACAGGAAATGGTCATTATTTATACAAGGGTATTAACATGGCACTGCTGTTAAAACACTGAGGAAAGTGAGTAAAAATTTCACTCACAAAGTGATATGGCAAAGATTAAAAAAAAGAGGCCGATCATCAATACAATTAGGCTAGACTTATCTCTGAACTAATATGTTAAGCGCAGCTGCTACATAGTTTTAAGATTATGATTGTATGGATGACACAAAAGATTTGTTAGTAATGTGGGATGAAGCAGTGGAAGCCTATTTGAAAATATTACTCCAGTATTTACCTGGATATGGTGAAAATAACAGTTTTGTCTATGCAGCTCACGCAGCTAGTCTCCAGCAGAGATTTAAGTAGTGTATCTTCTGAATGCCAGCTTACCGTATGTCTGTTCAGATGACTTCACAGTGCCTGAATAGTGATGAAAGTGATCTGACCTACTGGTACCCCTCAGTAAATGTGTTCAAAAGATCAGAGAGGCTATGACTACAGACATTGAACATACTTCCCCTTCTCCCATGCTATTCATATAATATTCTATTCTCCTTTCTTCCAACCTCCGTTGAAAAGCCAGAAAGCAATCTGCATTAAAGCGAGTGCTATTAACTGAAATTTGTCTAAACTGAGCACATTAAAATGAAATAACATTTTTTTAAGCCACATATAACGAGAAGTACCTGTTTCTACACAGAAAAATGGATTAGGCTCAAGCATGCTGCATATTCATAACAGCATTTCAAACCATATTTCTATGTATTTATAGCCATTTGGTTACTACTGAAGAACAATTCTGGGAGTGTGTTATTTTCCATTTCTTTCAAGAGGGTTAGCCATTTTTCTCTGTAATCATCCAGTCTTTCATTTACCAAATAAATATTCAGGTTCTTCAATATATTTTCATTTTCGGTTTTGACTAATTGGTACATCCTTGATACTTCTTGTAATTTTTAAAATGCCTATCATATAATATTTTAAATTTGTAAATTTTATACCAGGTACTCAGTTATGTAAAAGACCCTCAATGATAGGTTCTATGTGTCAAAATGTGTAATATTTATAATAAAAATTGATGGAAAAAATGCACCAAAAACATACATGAGAAAGTTCTCATTACTTTTACAGCATTTCTAGATGATAATATTTTATCTTGTGGTAAAAGTATCCCTGTAACAGGCCATGGAGGCCCATAGGGCTGTGAGATGTCGAGGTTCCCACATTTTCTAGAAAGTCAGCTCACAGATGGCGGTGAGGTTGTCAGCCTTATGCACTGTCTGCCCTTTACAGCTAGGAAGATTCCTGGGACTCATTTTTGCCACATGCTGAGGGCCATAAGTGCAGCTAGAAGGATTAGGTCAATTGAAAAATCTGATAACCTCATTGGCAATTGACCTTCTGGCTTGTTGTAGCACAGTGCCTCAGCCAACTGCACTACTGTGCACCCCCTTCTCTCGTGGTCCAATATTGAAAATGCGTTCTAAAGCGCACAATACTGCTGGACTGCAAAGGAACTTTACACTGTATTCTTTTTATCACAGTGCCTACCTGTAACTTCTGTTCTTTCCTCAAGTAGGTTACGGGCTGAGAATATCCACTGTAGACTATCCTGTAGCAGAGTTATGACTCTTACAAAAAAATGTTATTACACATAGCGTGTGAGTTGGGTGTAGAATTCTTGTAAACAGATGTGAAGCTGCGTGAAAGTTGGTCGCTCATCTGCACTCATTGCCCAGCAGTACGCCATCACAGCAAACCTGCATTAAGAACATAAACGTCTCTTTCTGCCACAACCCTAAAATTTAGATTATTTGGAAATTTCATTTCAAGAGGAGACAGTACATTAAAAAAGCGTATATCACTGTGATTCACAAATGAGCTACTGCCACAGATCTCAAACACGAAGCAGAACAAGTACAAGGTATCAGGCACTGATGCTATATTACTTATAACAACAAATGATTATGCCTGTACGGATTTCTTTGGAATCTGTTACAAGTCAGGATTGTGATACAAGCTATAAGCACTAAACAAGTTGATACAGCAAGAGACGACAAAGTAATAGTCAGCTTCTGATTATACTGAGAAGGTTTGTGCCTTTAATAAGCTGGTATCTTTCAAACTTCAAAGCTAATAAAAACTTGCATATACATTCTTATTCAACCATCAACACTAATTTGGAAATATTTTGTATTGCTGAGACACCATCTAGAAATCTTGGATAATTTTATGTCACTGTATAAATTTTCAAGGTCCTGCAATGAGTGACCATAGTGGCACTACCACTTCCATTATTTGCATGGCCAACATGTTGGAAACAGACATTAAAGATCATCATTTCATAACATAATGTTGGAAGACCCTGCAATGGCAGTTATTTCCATACTGTTGATTGATTGTAAGTTATTGCAGTAGGCCACAAGTGAACTAACAGCCTTCTGTTTCAGTAAATTGTGTCTATTCTTTGAGAACTGATATTATTTTCATGAGGATATGTGATGTGTAATATACTATATAGTGGAGATGGTTTAGGTTGATTATTTTTGCATGTTATTCATGGAAGATAGCACTAAACATTAGCCTACATGAAACATTCGACAGTAACACATAAGACCAGAAAGGTATACGGGAGAAACCAGGGAAGTTAATAGTACAGATGCCTATATAACAAATAATGAGACATCCTGCTGAAATGGTGTTACACTAGATATTTCATTAACAATTTCCCATTTCATTCAAAAGGTACCAGAGGAACATATATAGCACATATCATCATGTAAGTCTTCTTTTTTCTGTATAAGTACAGAAGTATAAAGCTTATATTGTTCAGTGATTTAACACAGTGATATACAACTTGAGAGTGCAAAATACAGTCTACTGGAGTATACCCATTCTCTGTGATTCTACACATGTCTTTGGCCCTGAAGTTCATTTATTGCAGACAGAAGTATATTGCCACAATGTTACTGGCAGTATATACTATAACACACTTCAGAGTCACAAATTATTTTCTTTTATATTTTATTAAATATTAGCCATACTTAAAAATGTTTTTTAAGTATGAGAGCTGGGATAGTGCAGTCAGTACAGTGACTGGCTACAGGCTGGGCGACCAAGGAGTTTGAGTCCTGGTGAAGGCAAGAATTTTCATTTCTCCATGTGGTCCAGACAAGCTCTGAGGCCCACCCAGCATCCTATCCCATGGGTACTGGGGGGTCTTTCCCTGGGGGTAAAGCAGCCGGGGAGCGAAGCTGACCACTCACCTCCAACTAGTGCCGAGGCCAAGAAAACATGCGTTTATACATCCACTCCCTCATACATCTTCACGGCATAGTGCTTAATTAGTTAAGCAGAGGGACTTTACTTTTACCTTTACTTAAAATTGTTTAAAATAAAAGCCCTATAAAGCTTTTGTATAATGACCAGTAATATCCCAGAGAACTAGTATTTGGTTTTAGTTGCATGTAAAGTCAGAGTTTTATTGATTAAAGGTAAACCAAAGTTAAAACATCCTAACAAATTTTAATGCAGACTTCATCACAATGTGATCAGTAATTTAAAAAATGTAACCTCAGGGTAAATGAATATCACTTCCCTATAATAAATTCAAATCATATCATTTATGAAAAAGAAAATACATATTAAATGTAAAAATGACAGCATTGAATAGATCAATCCATTGTTACAGACAGGCTGCATAACAAGGGGGGATTTTGGTATAAAACTTACAGTTCATCAGGGCAGTTAATTGGCTGTGCAAGACGGTATCCATCCCTCAAGTAGGCTGCCATTTCAAAGGGGTCCACCTCCACATATGGCTGTTGGGCAAGAGTTGTAAGCTCCCACAGCAGAACACCAAATGACCACTGTACACAAACACACACACCTGATTACACGGATAGAATCAGTTTCATGCTATAGCAAAAGGTGATATAATGGGATTCCAACAAGCCTGAACATTTATCTTCCATTTTAAGCAGGTTTCAACTGTCACAGGTATCTCTGAGATGATAGTACATGAGAGGACAGTACATGAGACAAAAATAACGGGTTCTAGTTCGGATGACTGGATTTATTAGCACTTTGGCTACACTCTCTCTCTTAATTACAATTAATGCAGCACTATTGCTGATTTACACAATTTCCAGTTCACCACTGCGCACACTTTGTCAACTGTCTGACAATACAGAAGAACAACAAGGGAAACTGGGTCCCTTTCTGTCCTCAGAAGAAATGACAGGGAGGCCCCTGCTCAGGTGGGTCCATTAGGCAGAGCCATCTTCAATCATTGTCAAGTGACATTATCTAATGGGCTCAGTTCGGTAGGTGCCTCTCCACACTTTCATATGAGGATTGAAACAGACCCACTTTCTGAAATGTTGTTTTCATTTAGAATACCAGATGATGGACAAAGCCCAGACACTGAACAACCCCATTTATATTTTGCTTTATTCTGTTCAAGTTGTAACAAAATATTCTTTAATAAAATAAATTTTGGTAAGCCAAGTCCAACTGGGTCCACTTGGCACAGCAGCCACTGATTGGCCTGTTGTAGCCTGTCCCGGGTGATTATGATGATGGAGAATTTGGTGGAATGAAGATTGGCAGGGGAAACCGAAGTACTCGAAGAAAACCCACCCCAGCACCACTTTGTCCACCTCAAATCCCACTGGACCAGACCCCGGGATCGAACCCAGGCCGCCACAGTGGGAAGCCAGCGACTAACCGCTTGAGCTATGGCACGGCCTTGGTAAGCTAAGTACAAAACATAATTATAAAAACAGAAAACAAAAATATCCAAATGGGAAGCTTTTCATCACATTTTTGCTTTTTGATTTACAGTCCAACATTAAACTGATTCACAGGTAATTTTACTTTCATTTTCATGAAACAATTATGTGTACAATATTTAATCTATAATAAATAGTTCGATGATTAAAGCCACCAACCCAAAAGTTAAATAGAAATTTTAGGTGGCTGCCATGATACTCTAAATTCTTTGAAAACATGACATGATCAAAAGCTGCATATTTCTTGCAGATTGAGTACACACCAAATTTGGAATCACATATCATCACTAATGTTACTTCCATTTTGCATTAGTGACATTAGAAAATCATCAAACAAGGAACACTAATTAATAAGAAGTTCAGACAGCTGCCAATTTGCATTAGTGACATTAGAAAATCATTAAACAAGGAATATTAATTAATATCAGATATTACACTCACCACATCAGATGCTGTGGAGAAATTTGCGTGCACCAGACTCTCAATGGCGAGCCACTTGACTGGGCGATTCTCATTGTCACCCAAACAGTGATAGTCTGCTGGGAACAGGTCACGGGATAAAGCATTGTCAGCCACCTGCACCTTAAGCTGCTGGTCCACCATGCAGTTCCGTGTCGCCAGATCGCGATGCAGCAGTCTCTTCTTGTGCAGGAACTGCATGGCATGCACCACTTGCAGTGCCATTGCAACCACCTCCTGGGTAGTCAGGACTCGTGCCACCCCCTCGGCACTCAGCTTACAGGTCTGAAGGAACCTGCAGCCACGGTGGGACATTTTGCTTTACAAAATACGTTCAGAATTTGTGTCACACAAGAAGTTTAGTGATACCTGTGGTTCCCGAACTGGAGGGTGCACCCACCTGGGAAGGTGTAAGGACATTTTGGGGGTGGGTTTGCTCAACAACAGAAAAGTTACAACTGAAATTTTCAGGTGGTTACCTGACTTAATCATCTCTTCCTTATGCACCATCAGTATTATTAATCCAAATATTTAAAAAATAAAATATTTAGATTTCATCATTTGTCAACATTATTCTTTGCCAGTTAGAGAGCACCGTTCAATGCAAACCTTATTTTCAAAACTGATTTTCACTAAAATTTTTGGTAAGGTGTGCTAAGTCCCCCAACAATTAATTTCCCTCTTTACTCACCATGAAACTATACTAAAAATACTTAATTATGCACTTTCTGTTACATTATTCTAATTTTGGACAGTACTTACGGAGGCTTAATATGTTATCACATTGTCATAAGGCTGCAACCCCATACAAAAGTTACTTTAGCATCTCTTGGATGGAAACAATGACAGACATATGAAGAAGCCCTGCACATATGTGTATGTGTGTGTATGTAACACATTCTGACATGAAGTGTTGACCTGTGGAGTAGAGAATCAACCAAACCAACACTACAATAACAAATCCTGGCTTGTAAATTCCATCATTTGAGGAATACACAAAAACTGTTTCCACTTCAAATACTGTGGCAGCCACAGTGTGGTTACTGTTGATGTTAACAAATCAGTAAGATCTGGGTTAGTGCATGACATGAAAAATCATACCACGTTTCAATTGGCTCGTGAATTACTGACGGACAAAGAATGCATCTGCACACTGATGTACGTTACAAGAAATTCGTACTATCTTCTGTGATGAGAGGACGTGTTTATTAATTAACAAAAATCCACTACTGGTACAAAGCCACTTAATAATACAAACCGACAAGCAATACTAGGAATTATAAGTAAGTGAAAAAATGTCATATTTTTGGTAAGTGGTTATGAATGAATGAATGAATGTATAAGGGGTGGGCCTTCTTGGCCCTTGCACCCCGGCCTACAGTGGTCTATTGTGCTTTGGTAAGTGGCTAACTGATTACAATCCTAATTGAATGACAATACTAGTAATTATATCTAAACAAATGTTACTATAACCAAGTCAGCAATACCAACAATAGCTCAACTCTGTCCACTGCAGAAGGCAGTTCATATATTAACTCACCTCTTTAAATTTGAATCTCCCCGATGTGGGTAGATAAGGAATGGGGCTGTGTGGTCCTCAATGGATACCCCAAGAACGGAGAGAACATTCTTATGACTCAGGCTGTACATGGTCATCCCTTCTTGAAGCAGCAAGGACACCTGTACTTGACTTGCATGATCTGAAAGCAATGAATATCAGGCAAATGTGTATTCCCAAATTCATACATATAACACAGTCATACGTACTGGTTAACATCATAATGTGATTCACAGTTTAACGTGTAAACCGGCTAAAGCACAACAGGTGATCATCTAATGTTGCTTAAGAACAGGGACAATTTTACCTTCATACTTTCACATGTCATAAAAGATGTTCTGGAAAGAACTTCTGGCATTTATTCCCTTATAGTTTCCACACAACTACATAATGAGGCTAACCGAAACTATAACCCAGTAACTGTACCGTAGCAGTCCATTCCTGTATTTATTTCCACTTGTACACATTTCAACATGAATTTACTAGATAGAACTTCAAAAGTTCACAACATTAGCTATCAACACATACAAAATTTCACATAAAATTTGTATGTATGGTTATGATTCGTCACATACAAAATTTCATGTGCCTCATCCCAATGGTGCATCAGTTATTGCCATTAACCGAATAAGCTAAGTACACAATTTGCATTCATTTATATTCCATAAGAGTATGACTGCAACGGAAGCCCCGTTGGTTTACTTCACTTCTTTGCTCTATGGTGCCCTGAGAGCATTCACCTCCTTTACGACTGATGCCATTTCTTCTCTATTACTCATATATCCCTTCTGCCCTCATCTCTGAGGTTTCGGCTCCATATCTTCCAGCAACCTGAATCCATGCCTTTTCAAACTTTTCCTTTACCTTCTAGTTTACTTTCATAAATAGAAAATTTATCACTGCAAAAAATTTTTGGGCACTATATGATGTGCTCTTAATGTCACTAGCCCTTTAGAAATTTGCATCACTGTCATGCTTGTATTAGTAAAAGTAGAAAATCAGAAAGCACAAAGGTAGATGACCTCTAGTGGCACTATGTTCACACAAAGTTTCATGAAAACCTGAGAGATGCACAAGAATTATTATGATGGGCGCAAACATACTGACAAATGGACCACAAGCCTGCCTTTCCTCACAAAATATGGAAAGTAGATTTAGAATCTGAACCACAGACAAAATTACAATGTACCATGAGCTAACAAATCTAACAGACAGACAGACAGATGACAGTCTAAAAAAACGCTATTTCATATTCAGGGATGCTGAAAGCGTGTAAATCCTCTAAAAAACAGACCCATTGCTAAGCAGTTACTTTGTAAACAACGACCGTTTTGGGGCAACGGCTCGATAAACACGTTCCCACTGCAATGAATACGCAGGCAACAATAGTTATCGTTCTATGTGGTTCGTGTCGAGTTGTTATAAGCAAGAGAAAATTTTAGTTCATGGGCAACCCCGTGTGGAGGCGGGGTCGAATACCTCCACCGTGAACCTGCGAGTCGTAGGAGGCGACGAAAAGGGAAGTCTCAAATCTGAGACAGTAAAATATGGTCGTGAGTCAGAAAGGACTGGGACCTGAGAAAGACTGCGCTGGCAAAGGCTAGCAGCATATACAAAAGACAGACCCGTCCTCTCGTCAGGGAGGGCTCCCCACAGAAACAAGACCGTAACTGTCAAACGGTAATACGAGTAATTAATATCTGGTCATGAGCCCCAGATGGACGCTTTATTCCGAGATAGACTGGCCGACTGACCGTCGGTCGTAACATATGACTCAGTTCAGAGGCAGTCCTGCATGGGAGGCTTTGAAGACAGAACCTGAGCGCGTGAAGCGAAGAATCTTCACTGTTAGAAGCCGCTGTCACGGAACGGCTGGTGAAAACACAGCAGGCTGAGAAAAGGATTGGCGGGTGCTGTGGTGATTTGTGAATTGTGGAGATCAGCGGTGACGCTGTAATTGCTTGTAATTCCGAGTCGCGTGTATAAGTGGTTAATACATCCATTCAACCAATCCAAACCCCCGTCGATAGTCACACATACTACACGATATTATCCTCTATTTTTAGTTCCTAACATATGCAATATGAGAATACATCCGAGCAAACGGCGTTACAACCCAGAATGACGTACTCCTCATTACACTATGATCGTGAGAAAAAAAAATGTCTCGAGATTTTGACGGATGTATATGTTCTCAGTAGGCGTGATTACGGGAAAGTGGTTCTTGGAATGGCGCCTATTTGTACGTATGTATGCGTATGTGCGCGCGTGCACCTCGCCAGTGCCTGGAGGGTTCAACGGATTTTATTCATATTAGATATTTAAGAATTTATGAATCACAGGTCTGTGGCCGGTGAATATGAATATTCTACATCAGCAAATAGGGACCCTTCACAAGAGGGCATCAAATGTAAAATTGTAAATTTTTCGAAGGCCACCTCTCTGCATGAATCTGCACAGGTGATATCTTCGTGAAAGTATGATACATCCTCTAACTAATTTCGTGGAGCTGAGCTCTTCTTGAGAAGCCGCCAGTTGTGCAGCTATTCAAGAATCTTCCAGCATTTTATGAAACGCGAAGGTTCATTACCGTATTCACAAGAGCCCTCCACTGGTCCCTATCCTGAGTCAGATCGATCCAGTCCATACCATCCCATCTTATCTCTCTAGGATCAATTTTAATATTATCCACCCAATTACTCCTTGATCTTCATAGCGGTCTCTCTCCTTCTGGCTTTCCCACCAATATCCTATATGCATTCCTCTTCAACCCTATTCGTGCTACATGCTCTGCATCTCATCCTCCTTGACTTGATCATTCTAATTATACTTGGAGAAGAGTACAAGTTATGAAGCTCCTCATTATGCAGTTTTCTCCAACCTCCTGTCACTTCATCTCTCTTCGGTCCAAATATTCTCCTCAACACTCTGTTCTCAAACATCCTCAGTCTATGTTCCTCCCTTAATGTCAGAGACCAAGTTTCACACCCATACGAAACCACAGGCGAAATTATAATTTTGTATATTCTAATTTTTATGTTTTAGACAGCAGACGAGAAGACAAAAGCTTCTGGACTGAATGATGGTACATCTTCTAGCTACACAAACATGNACACCACATATACACGGTGCCAAATCCCAGAAGACTGCTTTCTTCATAGTCACCGCCGTGAAAGCCTCAAATCTTACATGAAATTTCAATTTTCTCGACAACGGCCTGGGTGACTTGACTATATTTTAATCATCTAAAGAGGCAATGGACCCAAATAGACATAACATTATTAAGCTAATATGTCCTAAATATAAATTATTTTATAACGCCAAGCACATGTGGGAAAGATGCGGAATATTTTTGTGTCCTCTTCCGTCGTCCGCAAGGCAAATAAACGTACATACCACTTAATACGAAATTTGAAATAATGGGGTAATTTAAATGATAAACCTATATTCACTAAGACTATTCTCACATTATGGTTCACCAGAATTCCATGATCACTATAAAAATACAAAAGTGAAAAATGTGCCGCCTTGGTTGAAAATTCAACACATAAAATTGTGATGTGATGTAAAAGGTTTGTGTCCAGATTTGGATTATGCATTAAGAAAATATTTTTCTTCGATAGAGAGGCGAAATAACTGTCGGTATGGCGACGGGCTACGGGCCGGACGGTCGGGAATCGAATCCCGACATGAACACATGACACTCCACAGTGCCCACACCGACTCAGAGATTTACCCAGCCTCCTATACAATGGCAACAGGGGGCTCTTTCACCAGGGATGAAGCGGAAGGGACGTGAAGCTGACCACTAATCTCCACCTAGTGCCAAGGTAAAGAACAGTAGAGTTATATGTACTTAAGCCGATCACACTGGGATCATGGGTTCGAATCCAACTCGAGGCATGGATGTCTGTGTGCGTTTATCCTGTGTCTTGTTGTTTCTATGTAGGTAGCGGCTTTGCGACCGGCTGATCCCGCGTCCAAGAATTCTTACTAACAGTGTATAGGATTGAGAAACAGAAATAGCGGCCAAGGTCCACAAGGGCTGTAGAACCACAGATTTATAGTTTCCTTCCTTGTTGCCATAGGCTTGTTAACTAGTGTAATAATATACACCTCCGTGATTTATCTCTGTACACAACACTACACATTTCTATCCTCTGCCACTTGCCACGCACAGGCAGGGACGAATATCTGCAAGTTCCTGACAACAGTTGATCTAACACACCACATTTATGTCAACAATGCTCATTATTTTTATTATCCGTGATATTTCAGGGGCTCGCACTACTGCTGTCTTGCCAAACTTCGCAGTAGAGTGAGCATCACCGTGCTTCTTATTCGGGATGTCCCGGGTTCAGGTCTTGACAAGGAGCCCTGCTATGGCCATTGGAGCTTCTTTTATGGCCTTTCCCAGTCTTTCCAGGGATTTGCGGTGCGGTACCTTGAACTGGGTCACAGCTGCTTCCTGCCACATCGTTTGCAACTCATTCTCACTTATCATTCTACGCTACACAGTCTGCGTTCATGACGGAATTGTTAAATAAATAAATAAATAAATAAATAAATAAATACAATATTATTCTCTTAAAATGAAGGGCCCTGCGTTGAGATTATTCTGGGACATTCTTTTATTTCCCCGTTGGCGGCAGAACTTTGTGGATAAGTTTTCTCTGGGGCCTAAGCCTTGTATAATTTTCGAAGTACAGTAGTGTTTCACACGAAGTCATATCAACTATATACACATTACGCAGGGAGGCCAGGGTTCGATCCCGGGGTAATTGTGACTTTCTTTATGCGCTAAAAACACTTAAGATGTGCCCTAAAATCACTTAAAATATGCGCTAAAAAGCGGGAAAATATGCACCAAAAATAAAAAAATATGCACTTAAGATACAGGTCACTTTATTCGGCCTCACCTATTTACATGTATCACTCACTGCAGAAAGTAGTATCACAACAGGCAACTAAAAGTCTACCAATGTTTTCTGGAGACAAACTACGTCTATTGTCCGTCAAAATGAGTTTATAGGCTGAGAATGATCTTTCTACATCAACTGACGTGATTGGACAGTATTTATACACTGGCGCCGAAGGTTCGGAACATTCACTGGGCAAAGATACCCTAATTCCACTCAAGTA